CAATTTAAAACAAGTACACTAACGCCGATTCCTCTTGACAAACGTCGAAACATGAAACTTTTTCGATAACATTTTCTAAAACTGCATAAATTGAGCAATTGTAAGCAATTTGAGGTGAACTAATGATCTTGAGACATAGCAAGTAATTGAAAGAATGTAATTACAACATCAACCCAGATGAATTTGAAGAAACTAGACAGTAAGCGAGGAAAATATATGAAAAGGGTCCAAAATATGTAGGGGTCCAATTCAAGTTGGTTACCCTACTCGTGTTTATTTCAGTTACCGTGGGAACGTGATTTGTGATTAGTCTTGGTCCCTTTCAAATTGTATCATTATTTATGTACGGTCCTTATGTTTGAAATGACGTTTTACATTCATCTAGTGGTGGCCGATTTTCATTCGAATAATCGATTAATCGATTAACGAACCGAGAAGTAAAATATTTGTAATCGGTTATATCATGCCGATATAAGCATTAACTTCTTCAGAGCATAATCACCCATCGTTTCAAATATATGCTGCACTCTCATTGGTGAAAAAATGACAGCACAGCGAACAAAAAATAATCGATTAGTTATTAATCGAGTAGTTTAACAATGGGACATCTCTGATTTTGGTGTGATTGTTTTGATAAAAAAGAGCGCAAAATTTCATTCTAGCGAGGGGCCAGCAAAACCACAAAAGAAAGAGGATACTAAAATAGAAAAGGCTGGCGCACAATGCATAAGTTTCCGGGTTTTTTGACAGATAATGCATGGTCTAACTGTCAAAAAACCTGAAACTTATCCATTGTGCGCCGGCCGAAAGTTTTTCCTCCGTCTGTTTCATCTTAGTATTCTTCTTCGGTAAAAGTGGTCCATTCATGAAACTGATCCTACACTGAAGCAAATAGACCTAAGAATTTCATAAGGCTCGACTTATGAACAACATAAATATGAAATTCATAAGCGCGACTTATGAATGATTTTCGGGTAGTAGTTCTTATACGCCTTTAACCATTTCATTTTCACAAGCGTTGAAAGACAAGTGATCAACATACGGGCCCCCTAACCTCAACGTCCATTTACCGGTTCCAGTCTGCTCCGATTTATTATTTTTTCGTCAACATTTTTCATAAGGCAAATCAATGAAATTCACACTCATTTCTTATGGCTAAAATTCACAAGTGTTTCTTATGGAATTCTTACGTTCTTTTGCCTGCGTGCATGGGATCATCCTCCGAAAGATTCGGAACATCCGTAAAAGTGATCCATCCATGAAACTGATTCTAGAGCTCCGCGGTTTTTTTCAAAAACATTAGCAACTGTGATAAAAGAAAGAATTTTGGATCGTGACATAAACCTGGACCTGGATGGCCATAGGACCATCCTCCGGAAGATCCGAAACATCCATAGAAGTCGTCTATCCATGAAAATGATCCTAGAGCTCCGCAGTTTATTTCAAAAATATTAGGCAGTGTGTTATAAGAATGAATTTGGGGTCGTGACATAAACATGAACCTGGATGGCCATTGGAACATCATTCGGAAGATCCGAAACATCCGTAAAAGTGTTTCATACATACAACTGTGAAAAAAAACGAAGTTCTACAATCAGTATCATCGATGCACCACTTTTACGGATCTTCCGGAAGACGGTTTTATGGTCATTCGGGTCCATGTTTATGTTATGACCTTAAATTATTTCTTGTATCACAGCTCCTAATGTTTTTGAAAAAAAACTGCGGAGCTTTAGGACCAGTTTCATTTCATTTCATTTCAGGTTGACTTCTTTTACGGACGTTCTGGACCTACCAGAGGACTGCCCGATGGCCATCCGGGTTCATGTTTATGTCATGAACCCAAATTCATTATTATATCACAGTTTCAAATGCTTTCGAAAAACCGTAGAACCATAGAGGTAACTCTAAGACCAAAAGGTCCCGAAGAAACGAGCTCAACTTTTTGGCTCAGCTCTGGTATTATCTTCGGTCCCAAGCTAATCGATTCACCCCTCGAAACATAGGAAAATCCACTAACCCCTCATTTTATCTGTCAAACTTTCATAGCGAATCAAAACAAACATAGTGTAGTGCTGGAATTTATACTAGAATGGGGTACGTTAGTCGATTTGCTTGGGACCAATAGGCTAGTCAAGTAGTGAGCCAATTTGAAATCGTTAGTTTCGTATTGATTGTTGATAGAACTCTAGGATCAGTTTCGTGGATTGACCACTTTTACGGATGTTCCGGATCTTTCGGAGGACAGTCTCATGGCTATCAGTGTCCATGTTTGTCACGACCTCAAATTTATTCTATCATTACAGCTCCTAGTGTTTTTTTTTCTAAATCTGCGGAGCTCTAGGATCAGTTTCATAGATTGAACACTTTTACGGAGGACTGTCCGATGGCCATCCGGGTCCATGTTTATGTCATGAACCCAAATTCTTTCTTATATCACTGAGTACTGCGGAGTAAATCGATTTCATTTTGCAAGCCAATGGAAAACTGCTTGAAAATTTGTTTAAGTTTAAAATTGGTTTGTTCTTTCTCAGTTGATTCCCGCCAAAAGCTCTGAGCCAGGAGTGCTCGAGCCCCCATGACTCTATCAAAGATTGTTTACATACATCTTTCGTCAAAGTATGTTTTACTGCAATTGAAAACTCAGCTGAGTCATAAAAACTATGCTGGTTTTTATACTTTCATCATTGAGCCTGTTGGTTTTGTCTTTGAGCTTACAATTAAGAATGTGTTATGAAAAAGTATGAATCATTTTTATGAGATTGCAATGCTTGACGAGAGGTAAGAACAGTAACTGAGTTTGTTGCTTCTGAATGTTTGGCTCCCGTTTGACAGTTCTGACTGGCTCCCAAGTGACAAGCACATTGAGTGAGTCCGCAGTACCCAGTTATATCACAGTTCCTAATGTTTTCGAAAAACCGTGGAGTTCTAGGATCAGGTTTATGGATACACCACTTTTACGGATGTTCCGGATCTTTCGAGGACTGTTCCGTTATCTCCAGGTTTCATATATAGGAACCAAGACTGTATTCTGGCCCATTATGAACATTTGTGCCCATTAAACTAAATTATGGATCTTAAGCCACTTGCAAAACCCATAAACACACCTTTAAAAAAACGTGAAACGACTCTTTCCGCTTTTGAAAAAAGTTGACGACCCTATTTTCAATCTTTCTGCAATTAAAATAACCAAGGAATTCTAGAGGTACCACAATTTTTGAAATTCATCAAGAAATGACTAAGTTATGTAATTGCAAACATGCTGTTACACGTTTTTCGGAGGCTTCGTAGTCGACGTTAGTCTCCGAGATCCCGAATTCTAAAGGGCTTTTAATAAAAATAAAATGATTTTGTATCCCTCTAGCATGGCTATTTGTTGATCGGATTAATATCGTTGTCTTCTTCAAAACTTCATCGTCTTGATCTAAAAAAAAAGAAAATCGCCACTCGATCAAGCCAAATTCAAAGGTGTGATGTCGCATCAAATATTTTTTTTTTTATTTTTCACCCATTAGACTCAATTATTTAGAAAAACAATTCATAGTTAAAATCATAACTCTAAACGACACAATTATTTAATTGATTTTCTATAGTTAAATTTCAACAAACTTTTGGTCCGCTACATCACAACTGGCATCACTAGTGTGCATCTTTCAAAATGTAAAGATACAGACAAGCCCTGGGACCTGGTTGCAAATTAAGCAATCCTCAAGGTTATGCCAATGCCCAGGGCTCTACGTCTTCTTTCTTATTGCATATAAAAAGAAGATCATCGGCATATCCTAATATGCATGGTAATTTGATGGTGACCTCATGTGACAGTTTTAGTTCCGGCATGAACTCCTTAACTGACATCAGCACGTGATGGAGCATCAATATAAAGAGCTGCGGACTGAGCCTTGTTTAACTCCTCGTGACTTTTGGAATATTGCTGTTCTTTGTCCACACCATTGGATCGAAGTTTCTTCATGAAGCCAGGCTGAGACAATTCGATTCACCAGTGCTTTTGACGCTCCCAACTCTAGTAGTATTGTTCCTGCCATTGATATATCAAGCCTGTCGAATGCCTGTTTCAGGTCTAGAGACACCAGTATTGTCTTGCAGCCTTCCTCCATCTTTCATCAAGGATCCTCCGCAGAACGAATATCTCGTCCGATGCACTTCTTTTGGACTGAAATTCCAGTTGATAACCAGGAATAGGTTCAATTTGTTTCCTCAGACAATGCAGCAGAATGTTGGCATACATTTTTACAGGGACAGAGTGTGATGCTCCTAAAGTCTTCGATGCTTTGTGGGTTCGGTATTTTTGATATCGGAACCGATACCGTTTCCATTCATGACAACTTTGACGTTGTGGTTTCCTCTAGCAGTTCTTCCGTCCCGTATTTAAAGAACTCATTGTAAAGGTTGTCAATTGTTCCTCGATTCCCAGATGTTGTTTCTGATCTCTTCTTTGATCGGTTCTGCTCCCGCATCACGGCCATCATCTTCCGTCGACGTATTAAGCTGGGAATTTGAATTTTCGGTCGTGAGGTCTTGCATTTTTTGATTCCATCTCTGTGTTGGTACTACTGACAGACCTTATTTTCTGATTCAGGAGTCTTCTATCATTTTTGCCTTTGTTAGCGAGTCTAATATTTTTCGAATATTTGCACTAGAGAAAAGTAATTTTTTAGACTAAAATGACAAATGCATTAAGCCTGCAACAGAGGTTGATTTTTAAATGGGGGTAGCCACATTGTCCCACTGGATATTACATATGACTCAGATGTAGCTGAAAACAGAAAATTATACAAATAGGTATCTTTAATCGCCATTTACTCAATACGACGTATTTTCCAAATGGAACTGAGATGCGAGTACCGGCAGTGTAGCGATTATGTATAATGTTCATTCAAATGTACCAAACGTTCTTTTGCCAAAAACTCGTTTTGACTCATGCAAAATTGCCGCAATTTTGATGTGTCTGCTTCCTCCAATTGTTAATCCAAGCCACTTACCGATAAACATCTTTGGATTTCCTAAGCTAATTTGTACTTGGGGTGAGGCTAACAGTACTTGCAGTATCGGCGAATCCTGAGGCAGTCCATCACGCAGTTCGGTTAAACTTTTACTTCGATTACCCAGTAGCCACTCACACTGAAACAATCGACGTTGATTTATTCAGTCGCCGTCCCGATTCCATGTTAAACTTACCGCCGCAGCTTGATTATTCCTGGTGGCCACCAGCGCTTCCCGAACGCTGTTTTCATTGAAACCCATCTCGACAATCGAAACTACCATCTCCGCAGCCGGGTAAACATCTCGATCCGAATACTGTCGTATGATTTCCAGCAAAGCATCAACATGGTCAATCTTTCTGCTGAATCGAGCCAGTTCGTCTTTGCCCTGCTGTTGTGTTGCACTTTCGCCGTCATGATCATCACCGTTACCAATAGGACTACCACATCTCGAGGAAGTATATGAGGTATTTACAGGTTCTTCGATGTCTTGTTCTTCTACAGCAAGTGGCGGTAGATTAGTATCAATGGTACAATCTTCACCACTAGTCGTTGCCTCGTTGTTCGCGCTGCCAGCAGCAATCGTTGTCGAGCTTGTGGTTTCTCTAGTACTTGTATCACAGTTTAGCAGCTTCACCGAGCTATCGTTTTGTATCAGCCAATCCAGAGCGGCAGGGAACACATTCCTGAAATGAACGGCAGTTGTAATTTTAAACTATGCCATCGACTACACGAAGCACATACTTGGTGATTTCCATTGCTTGATGAATTTTATCCAACGAGAAACCCATCTCCAGCAAGGTATCGATCGATCGGACCTGATGCCGGCGACGATTGGTCAGCCTTTGGTTGAACAGTACAAGCAACTTCTCCGCACAGGTTCCTGGACCTATCACGAAAGCCGATGCACGTGCTAGCGAAATTAGGATTCTCCGGAGATCTTGCTGTAACTAGAGGGGTGTGGTTTCAATTAGAATGAGAAAGCTTCTCAATAGAGGTAAACAGATTACATCAGTTTGCAGCATCCCCACGTTGAAATTGGCCGTTGCCTGACTGGTACGAGACAAGGGAATGTGCTTGGTAGCCGCCAGTACCTCTGCTATGGTTGGTCCTTTGAGGCTCTCTTCCGAAGGCATAAAATCGGTACGTTTCACCACCAGCAAAAATTCCTCTGTGAAATAAAGTCATTCATCTGCGATAAGATTATTGCCCAATTACGTAATCGTACAACTTCAAATTAACAGCTGCCATAAAAGTAGGAAAGAACTAAAGAACAAGCCATTATGGCGCTCGAAGCAATCAATCATTCAAACCCAAATGCTAATCTGCGTCCAATTAACATATCCTTTCACTTGCCCCTTGCTTTTCCCTGTAATCTTATTAATAACTCACCCTCATTTCGAACACCCAGCTTTTGCAATGTGTCCCCATCCTGAAAGGCCGTACGGTTTCGCGCTCGTATTAATTTGTACTTCCCGACCAGCTGTTCGATGTCGGACGAGAAATGGGGCAAAGAAAACGAACAACTAGCAAACTGTTCCAGTGCGTGGCTCTTCAGCTGACTGCCACTACATTCCTGGGGAACTTCGACGCAAACGATTCCGCCGCGTGGGCTGATGATGCGCAACAGACGCGTCCTTCGACCTCGGCGCTGCAGGGAACAGCCTTCCTCGGCGGAAAGGGTACACTCGGATGCGGAGCTCGTTCCCGGCCGTCCCAAGCAAGTGGTGCCGAGTCTGTGGAAAAACGAAACGAAACGAGCTCAGTCAGATCGATGTACGGGATAATGGGACGGTAGGGTGACAGTGCATAATGTTGAAAAAAAGTGGTATGAGTAAATATTGTAAAAAAAGAGTATTTATAAATCTACAATACACATTCCCCCCCCCCCTATTCTGCGAGTCACGTGACTCTCTCTCACCGGTGAGGTGACAATAGTCACCTCGTGTGAGGTGACTCTCCATTTGATTTGCATGGAGAGTCACCTCACACGAGGTGACAATTATCACCCTACCGGTGACAGAGAGTCACGTGACTCGCAGAATAAGGGGGATTATCTCATTGTTTTATTTTCTCTGGGAGAATGTCTACCCAACACTGCGTGAAAGAGAAAGTCGACGAAGAGAATCGATCAATGTTACTTAGGACCTAATGCAATGTTCAGCTTGAAATAGTGCCCTCCTTTCGACACATTTCATCGACGATATTCTCCACGTTAGGGACGGGCATCTCCCTTTGCACTGCCTCGAACCTTGGAGAGTCGAAGACCACATGCTCTACGTTGCCACACTCCGGACAGAGGGGTAACGCTGCGTATCCGACCCGATGCAGGTATTTCCTAAAGCAGTCGTTCCCAGACAGGAACTGCTTTAGGTGGAACTTGACTTCTCTGTGTTTTCTATTCACCCAGGTCGAAAGAATCGGTATTAGTCTATGTGTCCATCTACCGTTCTCCGCCGTGTTCCACTCCTGTTGCCACTTAGCGAACGACTCCTTTCTCACAACTTAATCTTGCTGGTGTTTCGTGGAAACCTTCCCACACCTGGACGCCGGAGGTTCTGCTTTCCATTCTGGATCAGTTAACCTTCTCGACAGCTATAGTGCAACTACGTTATCTAAAATCAATTCGATGGTTAACGAGAACAATCGTAGCTTAGACCTCTGTTTCGTAAGCGCTCAGGATGCGGCTCCATTCATCTCGTCGGCTCCTTCTCCACTCGTCAAGAAGATCCTCATCATTCTCCTTTGGTTATTACTGTTGAAGACAATAACATCCAGGATTTTGAAGACATCTCCTCTACGGGGTCTTGCAATTTCCGGAAAGCCGATCATCGTAGCATCGCCGATGTGCTGTCAAGCATTGACTGGGAAAACACGCTCGATTCCGATAACGTCGAAACTACTGCTCAAACTATTTCACATGTCTTGGCTTATGTCATTGACAGACACGTCCGTTCACCAGATTGCATTGCACCCCCCTTCGCAAACTAACGAATTGAAAAAGCTGAAATCGATCCAGAGAGCCGCGTTGTGGAAATTCACTTCATATCGCACGTTGTCGCTGAAACGTCACTACGTTAAGCTCAAGCAAATTAACCGTTGATGCTACTTGCATTATCTGCGAGGGATTCAAAAGAAATTCAAGTCCCACCCGAAATCTTTCTAGAAGTACGTGAAGGAGCAGCGTAGAGAGTTCGGTCTACCATCATCCATAATATTGAACGACGAAGTCGCTTGTACTCCAACAAGTTTGCAAGTGTCTTCTCTGAAGAGAGCTTAACCAACGAATACGTGACCCTAGCAGCGAGCAACGTCCCACTTTCCGGTCAACTTCTGGGTTGAATTGTTATCAACGCCGAAGTGATAACGACTGCCGCACTAAAACTAAAGCCTTCCTTCAACCCTGGTCCGGATGGTGTTCGTTCAGTCTTTCTGAAAAAGAACCTGTCACCACTACAACATCTGTTTCGATAATCCATCTCGTGTGGCATTTTTCCATTAAATCGATAATTATCCTGGAATTACATCGTTCTGTGCAATTTCGACACAATTCGAGTTAGTCATCTTAGAGCCTCTGCTCTCCAATTGCAAGCAGTATCTAACCGAAAATCAACATGGCTTCACCTCCGGTCGATCTACTACCACTAATCTTCTGTGTCTGACATCGTACATCACGCAAAGTATGGTTGAAGGTCACAAATTGACGTCATCTACACTGACTTGTCTGCTGCCTTCGATAAGATCAATCACGCCATCGCGATCGCCAAATTGGATAGACTTATATCTCGCCGATCGTCAGTTGGTGGTAACCTATGGTGAATACCTCAAGGAAGTCATCTGGGACCGTTGATCTTCTTACTTTACTTCAATGACGTGAATTTAGTTATCGAAGGTCCACGACTATCGTATGCAGACGATCTCAAAATCTACTCACGGATCCGCTCGATCGATGATTGTAAATTTCTCCAACGTCAGTTTGAAGCATTTGACAGCTGGTGCCATTTGAACCGAATGATGGGTGTATCTTGCGAAGTGTTCAGTCATCAACTTTATTCGAAAGAAAGAACCAGTTATTTTCCACTATGCTCTCCGGGACACCATTATTGAACGTGTGAGCCATGTAAAAGATCTAGGTGTCATCCTGGACTCTCAACTTACATACAAGCAACACATCTCGTACGTCGTAGACAAGTCGTCAAATACATTGGGCTTTATCTTCAGAACAGTTAAGAATTTCTCCGACATCCATTGCCTTAAGTCACTGTATTGCTCCCTTGTACGCTCCATTCTAGAATATTGTTCTGTGGTTTGGAGTCCGAACTACAAGAATGGTACTGAGAGAGTCGAGTCCGTTCAACGCCGCTTTCTGCGATACACTTTGAGAATGTTACCCGTTTCATTTGCCCAGTTTTGAAAGTCGCTGCCAGCTGATTGAATTGGAGTCTCTTCGCACCAGAAGAGATTCTTCAAAAGCCCTGCTTATCGCGGACACGTTACATGGCAGAATTGATTGCCCCGAAATCTTGGATCAATTAATTAATTAATTTAGCTTTATTTAGGAGGCTTTCAGCCTTAGGCTGGTTCGCCTCCGACTATCTTGGATCAAGTAAACATTAATGTCCAACTCTGAATGCTTCGTTACAATGTTATGATAATAATGCCACTACGTCGGACAAACTCTATGCAATCAACGGTGCAATTGGCGGACTGCAACGAGTTTCTTCAGTATTCGATTTCACCTGCCACCTGAAGTGTTTGCGGAGACGTTTCTTTTCATTTTTCTCTAGAAATGTAAATCGTCAATGATCATGTTTTAATGTTTTATAGTATTAACTAATGACTTACTTTAATTTTAATTTTAAGTTAAACCATCATCGGGAGTCTGTTGATGTTAACAAATAAATAAATAAATAAACTTTCCGTACTCTTCTGGCTTCTCTCCGTCTGTAGCACTCGCTGTCCTACGCCCAGGGTTATGCCGATAGGGATCATTCCGGCAATAACGCATACTGCTTCCGACGAGATGGTTCTGTATGCACTCACGACTCGCATGGCCATGAGCCGGAACGTACTGCTCAGTTTCCTTTGGTTCTGCTTCGTTTCCAGCACTGCAACCCAGACTGGACCTTCATATCTCAGTATCGTCAATGACACACTAGCTAGAAGACGCATCTTGCTACTGCTGGGACCAAAGTTGTTCGGCATGATAGTAGCTATCGCGTTGATGGCCTCCGAAGCCTTCTCACAGGCATATTCGACATAGCTCTTGAAGTTTAGCCGGTCATCACTCCCAGTTATTTCAACACGCGCTTCGAGGCTATGGCGTGCTTCTCGACGGTGATATTCTGCACGCTGCAACGCTTTACAGTTACTGATCAATAGCACTTCCGTTTTGTGATGGGCTATATGCAGCTTTGCTCCTTGCATCCAGTTACCAATCATGTCGATCGCCTCAGTTGCCAACATTTCCACCTCTTCCAGCATCTCGCCTGTTACCGTCAAGATGACGTTGTCCGCAAAGCCAACGATCTCTACTCCTTTAGGCAGCTTCAGCGTTTGCACGCCGTTGTATCTATGGTTGTACATCCCGTTCCAAAGCGTTGGACCAAAGAGGAGCCTTGTGGAACTCCCGCTGTGATCCTAATCGATCTCTGGCCCATGTCTGTCTCGAAGACCAGAACCCGGTTCTGGAAGTAACTCCTCAAGTACAGGTAGTCAGGGACCCTCATTCTATGCAGTCGATCGGTATCACATTTTATAGACCAGTAATGACTGGAAGAAGGTGATCTGGTCAAACGAGACGAAAGTAATGCTATTTGAGTCTGATGGTATCAATACCCTGCGGCCAATTCAATCTTTGTTTGATATTTTTTGCGGACAACCATGGCTTCTTAAGAGCTACTCTGTCCTTAAGACCTTTCTTATGAAGACGATTTCGTACGGATTGTGATAGCAGTTGAATGGAAAACTCGCTTTCAATCTGTTTCGCAATTTTTGGAGCTGATAGTCCAGCTCCGCCTTCTTCACGATAGCTCTGTCAATTCGGCCAGTTGCCTTTGAAGGACGCCCCGATCGCTTAGCTGGTGAGATAGAACCACGCTTTTTGTACATCTGCACAATTCTAGCGACCGTATCTGTGTGAAGCTGGACAATATCGGCAAAATCACGGTAGCTTTTTGCAGTTTTGTGATATTCAATAATCAAATTTCGGATACTGATCGAAATTTGTGCTTTTTTGGGCATTTTGCAACAAATAACTTTACTTAATAACTCAATTTAGATTTCAAAACAAAACTGTATCAGGAATCAAAAGTAAATACTTCCATCATGAATTACCGGAAAATTGCTCTAGTTTCGGCAGACGTATTTGCTTTTATTATTTTAAATAAAATGAGAAAGAGAAGGTGAACTTTGTGGAGTAGGAAATGGTTGCTCAGGAGGAACACCGGCAGGGATTTGGCTCATCTTGTCCATCAAGAGCTGCGATATGAAGATGAAAATGGATTTCAAAACTTCGCCAGGATGTCGATAGACAAGCTAGTGGGAAAAGTTCTCACTAGATATACATGATTCCTTGAGTTCTGAAAATTTCTGTTAACAACTCAATTCTGCAAGGTCTTCAAACCTTCAGACGTCCCTGAAGTTTTGTTTCTGTTCTCCGGTATAATTTCCTTAAAAATCAACAATCTTTCCTGACAATCTGCAAATGTCTCGGTAGTTCTACAGATTTCTTTGAAGTTCTGTGTGTTCTTCAGAAGTTCAGCAAATTTTCCTAAAAACCTACAAAGTTCCTGAATCCCTGAAGATTTAAGATCCTTGAAGATCAAGAATTATCTCTGATGTTCACAACATTTCTAATAATCTACAAACTTCTCGAAAGTTCTGAAATTTTCTCTGCAGGTTTTCATGATTCAATGAATATCTGCAAATATCTCTGAACATCTATACAATTTTCTAAAGAATTAAAAGATTATCTAGAAATTTTTGAACTTTCCGGAAGTTTTAGGATGTATTCTAAAGTTTTTCTAATTTTTCTGAAGCTGTGCAAATATCTCTAAAGATCAGCGAACTTACCTGAAGTTCTGTGAATGTCTTTCAAAATTCAAGAACCGCAGTAAAATTCTGAAAATTTATTTAAACATCTGCTAATTTTTGAATAGATTTACGACCTACCCTCTGAACTTTTCTAAAGTTCCTAAAATTTATTTCAAATTCTGTAAAGTTTTCTGAAGTACTGTATTTCTGCTCTAAAGATCTACGAACTGCCCTGAAGTTCAATAAATTTCACAGTAGATCTCCGAACTTTTCTAAAGTAATTTAAATTTCTTTGTGGATTCTTGATCTAAAGATCGGCGAACTTTCCCGAAGATCTGCGAGTTTTGCTGAAGTTTTGCAAATTTTTCTAAAAACGTACGAATTTTCTGACGTTCTACAGACTTCTCTTAAGGTCTACGGACTTCTCTGAAGTTCTTTAGATTTATCTATTTCCGACTTCCATGGAGTTCTGCTAAATATTGTACTTTTGTACTTCGCTGCGATTTGTTTTTGGAATTGATGTGCTTTTCTGACATTTAACGAATTTTTCTGAAGATCTCACATTTGTGTGAAACTTTCCGTCAAATTCCTGCAAATATCTTTAAAGTTCTGTAAAAATGTCTTAAGCTCCGTAGCTCAATTCCCAAGATCTACAAAAAAAAACTTGAGGCTCCATAAATTTCTCAGTAGATCTGCAAACTTCTCTGATGTTTTGTAAATTCCTCTAGGGTTACCCTGAAGATTTGAAAATTTCCTTGAAGATTACCTAAAGTTGTCAAAATTTATCAGAAAATATTTGAGCTTCCTTGAAGTTTTAAATGTCTCTCTCAAGATCTACAAATTTTCCTGAAATCGTGTAAATATTTATTTTTTTTAAATCCCTGAAGTTCTGCAATTTTTACTGAAGATCCATTAACATTTCTGAGATGCTTGTGATTTTTTCAGAAGTCCTGTGATTTTTTTCAAAGTTCTGTAGCTTTGTTCTGAAGATCTACAAACTTTTGTGATGTTGAATAATGTTTCGAGGATCTCCAAACTTCTGTGAAATACTTAATATTTCACTGTAGATTCTTGGACTTGTCTGAAATTATGCGAATTTCCCTGAAGATTTGTAAAATTTCGCTTATTGTTTTACAAATTGATTTGAAATTATTTTTGCTTGCTTGAAGTTTTGAAAATTTCTTTGAACATTTATCTGAAGATCTTGTCATTTATAGAGAGGTCTTCTGATTTTGTTTTTATGAATTTCTGTTAATAACTTTTAATTTGTTTGTAGTTCTGTTCTCAAGAACTACCCTGAAGCTCAACAAATTTCTCAGTAGATCTCCGACCCTCTCTGAAGCTAAAAAAAAAATTCTATGTTGGGTCTCAGACCTGCTGTCTGGCATGCTTATTCTTATACAATACATGCTTCGTATGCTTCCTTTTGACGGTTGCCAGTCTCTCTTTTTCGGCTGTTTCCTTTTTACGACGATTTTTAACCTCCACATACAAATCAGCGAAGAGCGAGCGTGACAAGACTCTCTGAATGAACTTGTCTCGTTCGCACACGTTGTTTTAGCTGTCAGATGCTTGTCAAGTTCAGTGTCCTTAAGAAACGTTTCGAGCAACTGAACGAAAAACTTCTTTTGAATTACGAATGAAGTGATAATTGGAAAATTCCCTGAATATTCCAGGTTTTTCCAGAAAAAATAAAATTCCCTGTAAATTCCCGGTTTTCCAGGTAGTAGACACCCTGTTACTACTTGTTTTTGTAGTTGTAATTACTCATAAATGGGTAAAATTTTACTCATTTAATAGGTAGTCCCAGTTTCCCTCGAAAATGCTTACTTTGTAGTCGTTATAGGGTATTTTGCGGTTACCGTGTAAAACTCTGTAAAACACACTTAAATCGTAGTATCCGTTTGGGGGTGGATAAACTTTTTTTGCGTATTTTTTTCTTAATTTATCACATGAAAATCTCAAGAAAAGATATAAACGCCGTATTTTCAATGACATTGATAAATCATGGAGAAACACTCATAAAATTAAACTGATTTTCACCAGAAAAACAAAAAAAATGTAAATTGGGGGTGGATAAACTTTTTACATAGGCAATCATAGATTATCTTACCTCGCTTCCCTAAATGTGACGTGAGCAATATTGTCGAAATTTAAATAAGTATGAAGGGATTTGACCCATAGGTAGCTAATTTCAGGTTTTTTTTTTTATCATACTTTCGGCGCCCTATTCTTCGATACAATCGATGTAAATATTTACATTATTTGACAAATCTCAGGTAATCATGACAGCAGTTGGTCTCTTTTCTTCATTCATATTGTTTTCAATAATCAAACGTTATGATTACCTGGGTTTTGTCAAAAAAGGTAAATATTTACGTTGTTTTTACCAAAGAATAGTACACACAGCGTAAATGTTTACCTTTTTTTTTAAAAAAAAAATCAGGTAATCATGACCAGTGCTGTAAATTCTCAAAATCATTTGAACATTTTTGATGAAAATGAGAAAAGTAGCTATTCGCTATCAAAGGGGACCTCCTCCGGGGTGATATCAGTTGCTTAGTCATTTGACGAAGAATTGATTGAATGGTTGTAGTGGTTCATCTTCAATCGAATGATATGAAAATTTACAGCACTGATCATGACAGATCCTGACGTAGTAGGTTTTTTTTTCAAACGTATTGTTTTCAAAGATCGAAATGTCATGCTTACCATGAGATTAGCCAATGATGTAAATATTTATACGTCGTGCATTGAAGAATACCACTGAAACGCTGCAAACATGTTTGATTTTTCAAACAACATCCTCATCTTGGAGTACCTACCGCAAATTTTGTGGGTTGTATACTGCCCATAATCGCATACCAGTCCCATCTTTGCTTGATATGCTTTCAATATGGGACTGTTAAGCGAATAGTGATAGCCACTCCGACATCTGATTAATTTTTTATCTCGTGGTCGACTGGCGAGAAAGCAATAAAATCAACGAATAAAAGCCAACCTCGCTCACCTTTGACATCGAACATTGAGGCTGCCACCACTTTCACCCACGGTGCGGTCCTGATCTGCCCTACCGCCAAATCGAGGTGCAAACCAAGAAACAATGAATTTACGAATTCGCCTCATCACTTATGAATGGAACAAAAACAACAGCAGTGCAAAAAAAAAAGTACTACGGCAACGAAAACAGAAATGTGCAAAAACTTACTTTGATCGATCGGCGGAAGTTGTAGCCTGCTGCTGCTGCTGTTGTTGTTGATGACGATGATGATGGTGATGATGCTTGGAAGAAAATCGAATATTTCGCGAAGGACTGCCGCGGAGGCTCGATCCAGCTGGCGAGGAAGACGATGCATTAGTTGCTACGGACGAACTGCTAGCACTTCCCATGGAAGCAGTTTCTCCTGCGGCAGCGGAGGCGTCGCGTTGCTGCTTCCTGGACTGCTGCCAGCGAGCCTTCCGTTCGGCAATCTTCTCTCGCATCCATGGAATCATCCTTACCGACGTTGCACGGTGATTGCACTCTAGCTTCTACTCTACTTTGGCCGCGGAAACTACACATACGACGCCCCAATTAGGTCATATGCAAATTTTTCACACCGATCCTTGCCACAAGCACATATTTGGGGGGGCCTGTTCCCTAGTGGGAAAACAACATTGTCGATAAATTTTCTCTTCTCTGCCTGGTTTTCTGGTCAGCACGCGCTTGTGTTCCTTTCTAACCGAGATGTATTACTGCTCTGTGCCTGTATTAGGTATGACCAGAACCATCCGACCGTAACAACGTTTATGCTTGGCACACGCGAAGACTCACACCAAACTACTTCTGTTGAAAAATATGTTGCGGAAAATGCTCAAGGAATAATGTTGCTACACAGCATATCGGCTGTAAACAAACGAACATGAACTGTCATAGAGATTGCTAAAGTATGATTGTGTAAGTGATTTGTATTCATCGGGAAAATTTTCCGCTATGAAGTTTTTTTTTCCCGATGAAAACATTTTGCGTATACGTATACGTGACGCACACTACGTACGACAAACGTCAGCAATCTCTATTATGTTGTGCGAAGCTGGAAAAACCACCCACCCGAGGGGTAGGAATGTTGCAGTGGGTCACATTGTGTCAGCATCAGCGCTAACAATTTAAATGCTCCTGAAACATAGAAAATATTTTATGATTATGGACAATTTAATGGACTTAAAAGGGAATTCAAGGTTCTACCAGATGTCAATTATTTTTTTAAATGCTGCCACTAATAAAAATTACCATAAGAAAGAGCTTAACGACGTGTTCGGGGTATCATCCAAACCATTTGTGGGATAGTTCTACCATCCAGGTTACCGTTCATTTATGGTATTTGTTTATTATGGCCTATGAAAAAATGTCGAGCTTGAAAATTTTCCTAGACCTTTTTTGACATTTTAGGCTTGGAAAACATTCAAGATTTCGAAGTAAAATAGCCAGAATATTGGGTCTAAAACTTTTACCAAAACCTTTGACAGTTTGTGATTTCGGGAACCAAAAAAAAAAATCGAAATATTAGTGATTCCGTCAACATCAATTAGGTTTTGCACCGTCGGGGTTAACCTCAATCTGATGACAGTTCAGTGGTACTGTTTACGTGGACTTAGTCGATTTTTTCTTGGGTAGATTTTCTGGATCATTTTTCAGATTGCAGTGAGCTGTAAACCACACTTTTGCAATGTCCACGAGCAACATCCTTTCACCACGCATTTCCTCAACAATTTTCAAGTTAAAATTCGGAAATTTTAAAATATATTTTTTTCGAAAAAACGACTAAGTGCTTGTAAACAGTACCACTGAACTGTCAAAAAGGTTCAGCCGTTTAACACTGAGTTCATTTGTGACGTCACGCTGCAGAACCTAATTGGACACGTTAACGTTTCCGTCTGTTCGCAAACTCTTCTTGTCAGTCAGAATTTACACACGGATTTTTAAAGAATCTTTGTAATACCAATTTGTTATTATTATTGTTATTGCTCAGCTCACACCCTGGCCGACTATCGCCCGCCTATCTGTAGGGGATAGTCCTAAGAGAATAAAAGAATAGAGAAGAGCAATAGAGTATTTGTTGTTTTTCTGAAAAGAGAAGAACAAAAACAGCACGCCGACTTGTTGTGCTGCATGAGCTATGTCCGCTTTCATTCCCGATCCTGCGGGTTACGTTCCTCTTCACGTGCTCACTCACCTCAAGTATCCTGGGAACCTCCAGAGGTGCAGAAGGCCAACATGAGAAACCTCCATTCTGAGCGGTTGCTTGACCTGGGCCCAGGTAAAATTCCTATTGGCTTGCTTGATTTCCTTGTTGGGATTTTGCTGCTATTAGGTTTTGCACCGTCGGGGTTAACCTCAATCTGATGACAGTTTAGTGGTACTGTTTACGTGGACTTAGCCGATTTTTTCTTGGGTGGATTTTCTCGATAATTTTTCAGACTGCAGTGAGATGTAAACCACATTTCTGCAATGTTCACGAGCAACATCCTTGCAATGCGCTGTTCCTCGACAATTTTCAAGTTAAAATTAGGAAATTTTAGAATTTTTTTTTCGAAAAAACGACTAAGTGCTTGTAAACAGTACCACTGAACTGTCAAAAAGGTTCAGCCGATTAACACTGAGTTCATTCGTGACGTCACGCTGCAGAACCTAATAAGCCCCTGTGCCTTTGCTGTGACGTACTGATGAATTTGATTCACATGCTTCATATCCCGCATAAGCGCGAACCATAAATTGACCTTACCGATAATGGTTATAAATTGTTTATAATCCCTGCTAAACTTCAACTGAAATGGTTATGGAACTTTACATGAACGTTTAATGATAAAGTTTTAACCTTAAGTATTATAGTTTTTTGGAAGTGGACCTTACAAATAATGGGTTGTTAAGAACCATTACCATTCAAAATTCTTGTTTTCTCCATACATTTTCGGAAAGAAAACTATACTAAAACCTTTTAACTTATGGTTTGAGAACATTAATGGTAATGGTTATGGTAACCAGTAAGGTCCATGAATGGTTTTGTAACATCGATCAACTTTATGTGGAATATATCGCGAATTGGTTGCCCGTAAATTACTGATTACCAATTCACGATATATTTCACGTAAAGTTGAGCGATAATACAAAACCATTAATGGACCTTACTGACTACCATAACCATAACCATTAATGTTCTCAAACCATAAGTAAAAACGTTCTAATATAGTTCTCTTTCCGAAAATGTATGGAGAAAACAAGAATTTGGAATGGTAATGGTTTTTAACAACCCATTATTTGTAAGGTCCGCTTCCAAAAAACCATAATACATAAGGTTAAAACTTTATCACACAAACGTTCATGTAAAGTTCCATAACCATTTCAGTTGAAGTTTAGCAGGGATTATAAACAATTTATAACCATTATCGGTAAGGTCATGTGATGGTTCGCGTTTATGCGGGATGCTTAACACGCTTGCCTGCAGTGATATTAGGTTCTGCAGCGTGACGTCACGAATGAACTCAGTGTTAATCGGCTGAACCTTTTTGACAGTTCAGTGGTACTGTTTACAAGCACTTAGTCGTTTTTTTGAAAAAAAAATTCTAAAATTTCCGAATTTTAACTTAAAAATTGTCGAGGAACAGCGCATTGCAAGGATGATGCTCGTGAACATTGCAGAAATGTGGTTTACATCTCACTGCAGTCTGAAAAATTATCGAGAAAATCCACCCAAGAAAAAATCGGCTAAGTCCACGTAAACAGTACCACTAAACTGTCATCAGATTGAGGTTAACCCCGACGGTGCAAAACCTAATTGTCGATTGTATATTATTTTTATTTTTATATTGTTTTTCGACTGCCAGTACCCGCATAAACGCGAACCATAAATTGACCTTACCTAAAATGGTTAAAAATGGTTTATAATCCCTGCTAAACTTTAACTGAAATGGTTATGGAACTTTACATGAACGTTTAATGATAAAGTTTCAACCTTATGTATTATGGTTTTTTGGAACTGGACCTTACAAATAATGGGTTGTTAAGAACCATTACCGTTCCAAATTCTTGTTTTCTCCATACATTTTCGGAAAGAGAACTATTTTAGAACCTTTTAACTTATGGTTTGAGAACTTTAATGGTAATGGTTATGGTAGTCAGTAAGGTCCACGAATGGTTTTGTAACATCGATCAACTTTATGTGGAATATATCGCGAATTGGTTGCCTGTAATTTACTGATTACCAATTCACGATATATTCCACGTAAAGTTGAGCGATAATACAAAACCATTAATGGACCTTACTGACTACCATAACCATTACCATTAATGTTTTCAAATCATAAGTAAAAACGTTCTTATATAGTTCTCTTTCTGAAAATGTATGGAGAAAACAAGAATTTGGAATAGTAATGGTTCTTAACAACCCATTATTTGTAAGGTCCATTTCCAAAAAACCATAATACATAAGGTTGAAACTTTATCATTAAACGTTCATGTAAAGTTCCATAACCATTTCAGTAAAAGTTTAGCAGGGATTATAAACAATTTTTAACCATTTTAGGTAAGGTCAATTTATGGTTCGCGTTTATGCGGGTACGCTGCCAGCAACAATTTCCATTGGGGATCATTTGATACGTTTGCTATGAATTTTCGTAGCACCGGGTGGTAAATATATACGAGTTGATTGTTATGATTATTGTTTTTTTTTCCGTCGATCTTGTTTCCTGTGCTGAGCACCAATGCTACCGACGCGCCAGGGAGGCAGCTCCCACCACACCTGGACCCTACCTATGGACCCATCAACTCATGAACCGTGGACCAACGGCTTTACTTCCCTTCCGAAGGAAGGCGAGATCAGAGATGATGCCTCAGAACATCCCGGCGGCGCCGACTGGGATTGAACCCAGGCCTGCTGGGGTGAGAGGTAATCACGCTTACCACTACACCACCGGCGCCGTTGTGATTATTGTCAATTATACTCACATTTCGATGAAGATCGTGCTACTTATTTTACCTTTTTTGTGATACTCATCATCACAGAATCCATCCTTGAATCGTAGACCAGGTCCATCAACAATGCACACGTTCCGAGAAGGGGCACTTCTTCTTCTTCAGGTTCGCTCACCACCCGGAATGAAGGCTCGGTGCGGTTAGTAATACAAACAGTGTTACATGCAAACGAAAAGGAGATACAACCAGGATTAGTTTTTTAAAAGTAATAGTTTCATATGAATACCCAACTAACCATGTATCAGTGGCATTGTCTCACTCTGAAACTACATTTAAAGTTATTTTGTGGTTATATGGTTACTTTGGTACTCACATGAAATGTTGTGCAAGTACCACAAGTTCAGCAACGCCTAACTATGGACAGCTCAATGTTAATACCATTTACTTTTTGAAACATCAAACTGTCCAATATTGAACCTTGCCAACACACGGCACCTGCACGGTAATGTGGGCCGTCAGAATGGTTCATCGGTTGCGAAGTGAAGTGCTTCTCAAACTGAAGCGATAGAGGAAATGTATGTAATGTTGGCCTAAGTGTCCCTAATTTGGGCCCATATAAAAATTCAGCAATCGACTAAATTTTCAATACCAACCAAAAATATCCATTAGTAGGTACCTATCTAATGACGCATTCATCTAGATACAATTAAATAGCAGATTTTTAGTGATGGGTCCAATCTTATATCCATAGGCCAACATTAGAGCCATTTCCCCTACATTTCTCAATTTTTCAACGTTATCCTAGCGTAAATTTAATATTATCACCCATATGCCCGTCCACGCCCGAAACCCATCCACCACACAAAATCAGCTAGAAATGTTTCTGTATGACTAACACGTCCAGACATAAACGAGAATATGGGTGTATATCTTCACTGTAACAACTACGGGTAATCATCGAAAGTACTTGCATTTTACTCAGGCACTTTTGAGCAAACTGCAATCACTCTATCATACTCGAAATGTGCCGCGACCAAATTGGCACAACGACGCCCTATACACTATCTGACCAAAGCACAGGAAATAATCTTTCTAACACAAATTTGTTACCAAATCCAGCTGTGATTTGATGCTAGGGGCAAGTCAGCTATACTCTGAGCTAATATATTTACATTGAGTAACTGTGAGTTAATCGTATTTGCTCAAAAAATAACAAAGTAGCCTCAATTTTACTTTTTCCATACTGTCATATTAACAAGCACACTAACATCAGCCATTATGAACAAATTTATTGTTAATTGCAAGTAAGTTATTTTTGTATACATATAATAGTCTTGTTGAAGAGTTGATGATCCATCCAACTAGAACCCTGTTATCACCATACAGTTATCATCCAACACACCAGCTCGGTAGATCAAGACCCTCATACTAATTAGACGATATTGAGCAGTACGATTGGATTAGCTCTCTCCCACTGCGTATCAGTAAAGTCATCATCATGCCATCAGCAGTGTCATCATCGTCATCGATTGCCACCGATTATACAGGAGTGATCAGGATGACCGTACCAGGTAAGTGATAAGAGCGAACCTCAAGGAAATCATCGCGTCGCATCGACGGAGGACTGACCTTCCTATAACGATCGTGCGGATAAAAGGATCAGTCCACCTCAACCAGGTCACTGTATTACACGAATAGGAGACTTACGACGGCTTTTTAATCCGTTACGTTGTTCATAGTTTAAGTGAAATACAAATTAGTGATAAGCTTAATACACCTTTCATTGTATGTTTTGCTGTGTTAAATAAAGTGCTATGTATTATTTAACCGTCGCGAGTGTTTAATTTGTTGATACGAAACAAACACCTCCTATTGGATACCGACTGGATTGTCTGATTGAAGTCCCAATGGACATTGTGCTTGGTGCATGAATTAAGTACCCTTTGTTTACCGTGAAACTGTTTCATCCATCGATGTAGGGTTTTCAAACCCAACCGTTTTCCACTGCTGAGCTAGAAGGTAGTAGCCCACCTTTGTTCAAGCCTCTTGGTAAAACATTTTTTTCATGTAATGTGCAAGCTAAAAACGTGTCTCTATGTTGCAACATATAATCAAACGAATTTCATCAACTATAATATGGATTCAGAGGAATGATTTGGCCATTCGGTATTAACGAGAAGGATAGTGTTATAACTTATATCACAGACAAATAGACATAACACTCGAAAGTTGTTCATCGAACAAGCATTTAACGGACAATTTAAAAGTATCGTAGTTGGTAATACCGCCACCTGTGGCGCGCATAGTCAATTCCCTTGCGTTTGACGTTTACACACTACCACCATCTGTTCAGCGTAGTGCCCACCACAGTGTACTCAACAGATGGCGGTAATGTTTTAGCGACGATGTTTTACAGTGAGAAATATTCAATGTGTTATGTCTGTTTGTATGTGCTTATATCATCAATAAGTTGTACCCTGATTAAAACCCCTATTCTTATTCCCAGATCATCAAGAACTTTGCTTGAGCAGAACCACAAATATGTAAATAAGGAGAGAAACCTGTTCAACTGAGTTGCCGCGATAAAAAATTTCGTGTTGTCAACGATTTTCTTCATTGAGCAACGGGAGTAACTCAGAGTTACTCAAGATTTGCTCAAAAAATAGTCATGGTTGAAAGCTGTCTAACCCCTAGATTTGATGTGCATTTTAAAGTCAAATTCTTTCCTCTCAAGATTGGTCGTAAACCAGTGACTTTAGTGACTAAATTTTAGGGAATAGTGACTGACTTGAAAATAGTGACCATGTCACAAAACCTTGATAGTTCTTTCCTCGTCAACCGAACGCAAATTAACAGCATCATCGGATAGGGGAAACTTTCACCAACCCGATGATGGTGTGATGGTTTCCGTAGGCGAGCGTTGAGTCACGAGAAACGGGTTCCCGCCGTTTAGTTCGCAAGACCTGATGTGCTCTTTTTTGTTGTTGGTCGTGATATGCTCGATTGGTTCTGCTATTTGACAGCTCAATTATTGGTTCCTGAGAATCTATCCGCGAGACTATAAATAAAGCGACTATAGCTACCAGCCCTGTTAACTACGTCAAATACGGTGCCTTCACGGTAGATCCATAGAGGTAACTCTAAGACTTGAAGGTCCCGAAATAACGTGCTCAACTTTTTGGCTCAGCTCTGGTACTCTCTTCGGTCCCAAGCTAATCGATTCACCCCTCGAAACATAGGAAAATCCACTAACCCCTCATTTTATCTGTCAAACTTTCATAGCGAATCAAAACAAACATAGTGTAGTAGTAGAATTTCGACTAGAATGGGGTACGTTAATCTTTGCTTGGGACCAATGGGCAAGTCAAGTAGTGAGCCAATTTAAAATCGTTAGTTTCGTATTGATTGTTGGTAGATCTCCGTAGTAGGCCTCTCATGAAGCTGCATATTCTCAGGCTGTAGTTGGATGGTAGATCAGATTCCGAGGATGGAGTTTCGAACAGCTGCAGTTAAATCTCGTCGCCGAAGGTTGTAAACGAAGGGCACAGCAGATTTGAAGCAGCGATGCAGTTGGTTCTTGAGAGCTGCTGGTAGTACATACCATCACTGTGCATGAAAATGTGCACTGCTTGCATCAACTTTCGCCAAGGCAAACCGACGAAACGTACGTTCCGGACTTGGTGAAAATAATTGCTTGTGTCGTTTTCGGGTTAGGCGCCAACTCGTTTGCGTCAGCCCAGCGGATTATCGCCTCAAGATCAAGTTTGATAGCGTGTCTACTTCGGAGGCCGGGTCGGAAACGTAAACTTGCAGATTGTCGCCTTTAAAGCAGACTAAAGAGCAGTGCACTTAGACACGATCCTTGAGGCGTACCGACAAGGACATCTCCAAGGCGAACAGACTGCTTTCTGAAACGATGACACCAGATCACAAGCTCCTTGAGAGAACAGGAACTCGTTCCGTAGCTTGGTTGTAAGAACTTGGTGGTTCACACAGTTAAAGGCGAGGGAAAAGTCCACCAGAACCATAACGGCGCAGTAATTGTTGGCCAGATTCGTGTGATTTTCAAGATTTTCAGTGATTAGGGAAAGCACTATTTTCTCGAGTACCTTCGATATCGCAGATAGAACACTGATGGGTTGGAAATCTTTAGGCTGAGTTGGATTGTACTGCTTTGGTATAAACGGGCAAAGTAGTTTAATAATGGAAATTGGGATCTCATTTGGACCGGTACAGTTCGTTTAAATCTCATAATCTTCCGACAAATCTCCTCGCTGGTCGTATGACGAAAATTGAATTCCGTCGCGCCATGATCAACCGCTGGGAGTAGGGTGGTAGGTGTCCTGGGTTGATTTACACATTGCAGTTGCCTATGACCGTCACTGAATAAGCGATTCAGCTCCCCAGCAAAATTATACTTTTTGTTACCAGGTGAATCTTTGTCATTGACGAGAAAATGAATGAGATTATGACGAAGGTTTTTTGAGGATCATGTCTGTCAGTGACTACGTGAAGAACAATTTTGTCAATATCGCGTAAAAGTCAATGATAAATCTCAGCGCTGGTGTGAGCTCTTCTTCGCGTTGTTATGGATAACTTGTTTGCTAGTAGGCTTGGGTCAAAATGTTGTTCTGCGTAGCGTTTCTTGGCAGCGAACATGAAGGAGTTTACTCGGATGTAATCCTGACTCTATTTTTGATTTCACAATTTAATAAAATAAAGTACCTATCCCGCACCTACAACGACAAATCCAAGTGATTCGAGATTAGGGTGCATCTGCTTTTGTAAACAAAACCTACTTAAATGGCCTCGCAAACTAGCAACACAGAATGATTCCTCTACAAGTTGGTGTACTTTTTTAAACGAGATAGATTCCAAAATCAGATGCGCTTTCCACGAATCACAACGGAAATACGGCCCGAAACATTTTAATAATCGAGATCTCTAAATGTATTTTACTTATACCGAATTAGTTTATTATTCAGTTCCAACCTGGATCGCGTATCAAGAATAGGTCTGTTTGTTTTCTGACAAACGTCAGTTTGCTCGTTTGTCTTTTAAACCCAGCTCAGGTTGAGGTTCGCACTGCTATTAGTAACTTACCTTGTAACTTGTTCATGATTCAGATTGACTTCAATTGTCAATGTTTTCACAGAGAATACATACTCCATTGCAAGAAATTATACTTATCAGAATCGTCTTATCTACCAGATCCGTCGCTTCCTTCTTGGAGCAGTATGGTATGTGTGATACTTCACCGATTCCACAAATCACAACACCGGAACCGGATTTCAGTTTTCATGTTTCATTTTTTATTTGAATATTTCCTTAACTCTTGGAACGTTTAGTTGTTTTATAACTATCATCCGAAACGCTCTTTTGTGGGGGGACGGTGTGTAAATGGTCTTATGCTTACACACCTGCGCACGGGGGTTCTTGGTTGACAACACTTTGCGCCATCACATTCGTTCACTCTTCCACCTTTCCCTTCAGTCAGCAGCTTACTTCGACTTCTTGTTCTTAATCTTCTTCAGGTAGAATTCCAGTTCCTTACCCTCAAGGATGTATCCGTCGGCACGGCCGCTCTGTCCTGGGCGGGAAGCAATAGAAGCTGTGGAAATTAAAACGGATTTTCTTATTAATGTCCTTGCTGTATAAAGGGAAACAGGAATCGTTTGAAGCTGGAGGTGATCAGTGTAACTATGACAAAGCGGAGATCATCTCTCACGGGAACGGTTCCTAGTCTCAAAACGAGCTTTGGAACCGCATAAGGCCCTCTCTAGGAGGGTGTGAGTCGCTTCAATTGTTATCATCATTAAAATAACGGAAGATATGGTGCATATGATTCGTTGGAAATTTTCCTACACACATGAAGTATGTAGACATTCTAAATGACAAACAAATTATCCTTCTCCAACGAATCGCGCACCGTCAAATATCCTGTATTCACAGTATAAATAACTTACCCAAAAGACGTCCAGCGTTGAACTGGTCCTCCAGCGCATGATCCAGCTTGGAGGTCTTCTGTCGCTTAACGTACTTCTTCATGACACGCTTGCTGCGCTTCTTGGCCAAAACGTCCTCCTCACCGGACTTGACATCACGCTTCTTACCCAGGGGCAGCAGGTAATGAGTTTCGTACCACTGACGGAAGGGGGATGCATCGATCACGATAATGGCATTCTTCACCAGGGTCTTGGTTCGGACCAGCTCGTTGTTCGAGGCATTGTACACCACATCGATGATACGGGCCTTGCGGGCGGTTCCTTCCGAAGCCCAGGCAAAGTTGCCGGAGTCCAGACGGAGAGCACGGAACTTTCTATTTCCACCGCGGGTTCGCACAAAGTGGATACGGGAGGCTCCAATCTACAATGAACGGAGAAAAAAAAAACACTCATTAAATTTCAATAACCTACAAAAATAGACCAGCATCAAACAATAGAATCTGATCACTTACCTTGGTGTTGGCAGCCGGGCGTCCCAACTCATACTTCCTCTTCTTGCGGATGGCGGCCTTCTTACCACCAGTGGCCCGCCTCTTGTGATAGCTATCACGGCTAATACCTGTGAAGCAAAGTCAGCAAAATACCAATCCGTTTTAGTTCCGTAATTAAAATCCATTCGGAGCAGCTGCCAGGCACCGAAATGCCAAACACTGCCGACCATTCAAGTGTCAAAATATATCGGAAACGTGGATAAAAACTATCACTTTTTCTCGCACTAAACCAACTCGAAATTGCTGCTTAGCAGTTGAAAATTACAGTCCTCACATTTTGCCAGCAAATCCACGCGTTGTCAGCACGGTTTTCGATATATTTTCACTGTTATTTTGATAATTTTTCTTGGCACACGATCAACCAGCGACTTACCCATCTTGATGTGTTGATCGAGAAAGAAAGAGCGCTAACAACCGGAAGAACGAAGTTGGCTGCTCTGAAAATTGACAGCTTCGGACGGTGCTGCCAACCGAAAGCCGGTTGTCAAAAACTCGTCTAAAATGAGTACCCGAGTAAAAGAGAACGCTCTGTAGGTGCTCATCAAATATTACGTAAAACAAAAAAGTGGCACTTCCTATACCTAATACATGGCAGTTAACGCATTGCCAGACGACCCCCACCCTTTTTTACGTTATGTATTATTTGAATGGGCCCTAGGAACAGTCACTGTCATAGAGCACAGGTCCGGCAATGCGAATTTGGTGTTGCCTCTTGCATTATCCCTTTGCTCAACGAAAACGACGAATTTGACATTATACGATGCCGGTAATTTGCGTTCGACTGGCGTAAAAAGAATAATCAACGTTTTGTTTATAAATTTGATAGTACCTTTTCAATTGTTGGTCTAAAATATATTGAATTATTTCCGCTTTTTAATAGATCGAAATTCTATCCACCAGACTATGAATATACACAGCAAAAAAATTTGTTGAATATTACATCGAAACTGCTGCAACCAGGTCAATCCATCGGTTGTGTAATATCACATTGTACGATGTACATCGATTTTGCGAACAAAATTACATCCATTGATGTAATATTGTATCTGCTTTTTGCTATTACATCATTATATCATAAATCAGCTTGAATTACGTTGATCGATATTACATATTTTTTTGCTGTGTAGCGACTATAGAGAGGATCTACTTAGCCCCATGGCAACGGGTTTGTATATTGAATACATTTAAACAATAATAAGGATTTTCCATTTGTTGTTTGTTTAATGCCAATTAGTTGTTTGTGTTATTAGTTGGTTGTAGTTGTGCTGTGTGTTGTTTGTAGATTTTCCATTAGTTGTGTTTATTTTCCATTAGTTGTTTGTGTTAAACACAAACCAAAACTCAAGAACAACATGTGAAAAGGGCATACAAGCTTTTTGTAAACAAGCATTCTTATGCCCTTTTCTCGCCACTTATATGACACCAACGCAAACTATCAACATCGCCAGATAGGGGAAGGTTTCCCCTTCCCGATGATGTTGTTAGTTTGCGTGGGTGACCCTCGATTGGCGAGAAGAGGGCCTACAAAGATTTGTTTACAAAAAGCTTGTATGCCCTGTGGTAGTCGGCTCTATTTAATACATATTGGTAGTGAACTATACTGTATGGTTCCCGACTGCATGTTCTTACTAACACTATTACACGCCCCTTGAGCCTCACCTCGAATACTACGAATCGTTAACCTTACAGCGAGAGTGATCTGCTCAGTCTTCTCGTGTCGGTCGAGTTGTTGCACTGTGCTTCGTGTCTCGCGTGTTCTGACCAAGGCTATCACAAACCGTGGCGACGAGGTGAAAAAAATCAACGATATTTTATAAATTGTTTTGTTTGCGGAAAAACGGTAAGCGCGTAGGAATATAAAAAAAGAAAAAAGGCTAAGCCTAAGAATACTGGGAAGTGTCTCGTGAACGCTTTTAAGAAAATTGGATGATCGACGCCATTTTTAAACAGAAAGTTGTTGACCTTGAAGCATCAATCTGTATTTCTATAGCCCGTATGATTACTGAATGTGTTCAATGATGCATAGGTGCATGTTACGATAGAATTTAGGTTTAATTGTTCTCGGTTGGAATGTTGCAACAGTGAAAATATGCTATAAATAAAAAATTGTTGTTGAGACAGGAAGTGACGCTTGAAGCAAATGTGAAAGAGAAAACAAGTGACGCTAGAAGCAAGTGTGAAAAATGACGTAGCTTTGCTGAAGGGATTGTGTGTAATGGTGAAGATCTGCCGATATTTATGAGGGAGACAACATATGATCTGTGTATTGAAAGAATAGAGAAATACATATGAAAAAATATCAAGTTGGATTTTTTTTTTGTCGAGATCGTATACAACTGATCTGCTGTAAAGCTATATATATATAGATATAATTTTGGTTGATAAATACAACCGATTGGATTCCGGTTTGTTTGTTTAACGCTAGGGAGTTATGTGCCAAGTAAAGCAACCGATTCAATTCCGGTTGAAATGAAATGGAAGAAAGTGAATGCGTGTGATTATAATGTGCAATAGATTAAATGTCCTGTTGGAATTGCACGCAGCTGGTGGTACTTTGCAACCGATTAAATTCCGGTTGTTGGTAATGCTTATAAGGTTTATAGTTAAAAAAAAGGTTATGAGTAACCGATTAAATTCCGGTTAAGGTTGCGTTATTGTTTTGAAGAACAGATATAATAATTAATAAAAATAAATGTGTTTAACGTTGCATGTAAAATAAAGTGCTTTGGGAAAAGGTGTTGAAAATTCTGAGGAGACAAAACATATTGATGGATTGGTAGATGTTGATTGGTCTATTATATAGTTTGAATATGAATAAATGAAGAAATAATTTTGAGTAAAGTGCTTACAAATTTTTTTCTTTTATGTGTATAGTTAGGGACACCAGAGCAATGAATAATCAGGAGGATTTCGACGGTGGCCATCAGGTCGTGCACCAGAATGTGCAGTTTTTCAGCCCAGCGTCATATAATCTTCCTCACTTCAAGTACAAGCACCTTCCGGCATCCGAAGTCCGAAATGCTTGGAACATGTGGATTAGGTGGTTCGAGAATGTTATGGCTGCTGCTCACGTACAAGATGGTGCTAGTAAGAAGATGCAGTTGTTGGCCATGGGCGGGTTGGAGTTACAAAGCGCATATTATGGCTTGCCCGGAGTGAATGAAGAAGATGTGGAAGATGATGAAACCGATCCTTATCTAGTCGCAAAAGAGAAGCTAACGCAGCACTTCTCACCTAAGCACCACGATAGTTTTGAGCGTTTTCTTTTCTGGTCAATGGTCCCCGAGCTGGATGAGCCGATTGAAAAATTTGCATTACGAGTTCAACAAAAGGCGGAAAAGATTTGCTTTGGGAAAACAGCCACAGAAAGTCGTCATATTGCTATTATCGATAAAATAATACAATTTACATCGAATGATCTTCGTCAAAAGCTGTTAGAAAAAGAGGTTTTAACATTAGACGACACGACGAAAATCGTAAACGCATTCCAGGCAGTACGATATCAGTCTGCTAAAATGAACAACAGAGGATCAGACAATCGATCAGAAAGTAGTGTAAACCGTTTATACTCCAGAATTCAGAATCCGGTTGAAAGAAGATCGAAGTGTTTGCGGTGTGGATACGAGCCTCATCTGCCTGGAGGTAGATGCCCAGCGGCGGGTAGAACCTGCCTTCAATGCGGAATAGTAGGTCACTTCCATACGGTATGTCGGTCTAAACCACTTGATATGGTAAGTAATCGTAATAATTTATGTAATTTCAAACCATATAACATGTATATACTTCATAACTTTAAATACTCAGGGTAATCGAAAACGTAAGCAAAATTTCACGGTAACTAAAGAATCTTACCGCCCAGAGAAACGCTCCAGAAACGTATTCAATGTCAGTGAAAATGTTGATGAGAAACCAGAGTACTTACCTGTTTACAATATTGGGTGTGGAAATGATGAAGTTATTCAATGTTGCGTAGGTGGTGTCCAAATCTTTATGTTGATCGATTCTGGATCCACACACAATCTTATTGACGATACAACATGGGAATTGATGAAGTTGCGGGATGTAAAGATATCTAATGAAAGAGTTGACACTGGCAAACGATTCTTGGCGTATGGACGTATACCGTTAAAACTTATCACCGCTTTTGATGCGGAACTTAAGGTTGACGATAACGGGCACATGTTGAGAACAAATACATCCTTTTATGTAATTGAAAAAGGACAACAACCGTTGTTGGGGAAATTGACTGCGCAGAAATTGGGTGTGCTAAAAATTGGACTACCAAGCACCCATTTTTCACTTATCAGGAACATTGATAATCCCTCGAAAGCTTTTCCTAAGATAAAGGGTATAAAATTAAACATTCCCATTGATAGAACTGTAGCTCCCATTATTCAACCATTACGTCGCTGTCCCATACCGCTGCTTGAGAAGGTTGAACAGAAGGTGAATGAACTTCTGGAAATGGATATAATCGAAAAAGTAAAGAAACCAACGTCATGGGTGTCACCATTGGTTCCCATCCTGAAGGAGAATGGAGAGTTACGACTATGCGTTGACATGAGGAGGGCAAACCAAGCTATACAAAGGCTGAACCACCCGTTGCCTGTTTTCGACGATTTAATATCACGATTCCGCAATGCTCAGTTCTTCACATCACTCGACATCAAACAAGCATTCCACCAAGTGGAATTATCAGAGGATTGTCGCGACGTTACGACCTTCATCACCAATTGGGGACTTTTTCGATACAAACGACTGCTGTTTGGAGTGAATTGCGCGCCTGAACTTTTTCAGAATCTAATGGAGAGCATTCTAGTGGGGTGCAAAAATACAGTCGTGTTTATAGACGATATTATGATATTTGGCGAGACTGCGGCAGAACACGACTTGGCGGTCAAACAGACGTTACAAGTTTTGAACCAATACGGGATTTTGCTTAACGATCATAAATGCAGATTCAAACAACGTGAAATCGTATTTCTTGGACATAAGTTATCAGCCAATGGGGTATCGCCGAGTGAAGAAAAGGTGAAATCGATTTTATCTTGCAGAGCTCCTCGCACAAAAGAAGAGCTTAGAAGTTTTCTTGGTCTAGTGTCATATGTTTCAAGGTAAGTAAATAACTATTTGATTTTAATATCTATAAATAGTAATAATAATAACGGTAATACGTTTAAAGGTTCATTCCAAATTTAACGACCGTTAACTATCCTATGAGACAGTTACTGAAACAGGAATCTTCGTTTGAGTGGGGTGAACAACATCAATCATCTTTTGACAAGGTTAAGACACTTATTGGGTCAGCAGATAGTTTGGGATTCTATGATCCAAACGATCGAACCTTGGTGGTTACTGACGCTTCAGGACTAGGATTGGGAGCTGTTTTGATTCAATTTAAGGGCTCTCACCCTAGAGTCATCAGCTATGCCTCTAAAAGCCTGTCAAAGGTAGAACAAACCTATCCACCAATCGAAAAAGAAGCCCTTGGCATTGTATGGGCTGTCGAAAGATTCAAGAACTATTTACTGGGAATCACATTCGAACTTGAAACTGATCATCGGCCTCTTGAAACTTTGTTTTCAGTAACATCAAGGCCAACTGCGCGAATCGAAAGATGGTTGTTGCGAATTCAATCGTTCAGATTCAAAGTGGTTTATCGGAAAGGTTCTGCTAATTTAGCTGATTGCTTATCCCGACTTGCTGCACATGTAGAAGATCCACAATGGACAGAAGAAATGGATGTGTTTATTAGGCGTGTGATGGTGCAATCCTTGTCAATGCTTTCGGTTATGGAAAACGGACATTTTGATTCTGAAACAGAGGAGGTTATTAGAACTGTACAAGAATCAGTAGCAATAGATATTGCCGAGGTGGTCACAGCTACAGAGTCAGACCAGGAGCTGCAAAGGCTTATCGAATGTATTGAAACCGATAATTGGAATAAGGATGACCTCAAACAATATAAGGTATTTCGTTTGGAGTTTTCATATATCAACAAGTTGATTATGCGTGGCACCAAACTGGTAGTTCCGATCGCGTTACGTTCAAGGATGTGTGAACTGGCTCATGAGGGACATCCTGGCCAATCAATGATGAAAAGAAGACTTCGTGAACGATGTTGGTGGCCAGGGATTGACCAGGATGCAGTTAAAACCTGTGAAAAGTGTCAAGGATGCCAATTAGTACAATCTTCTGATCCTCCTGAACCCATGATGCGCCGAAAACTTCCTGAAAAACCATGGATCGATATTGCTATAGACTTTTTGGGTCCAATGCCATCGGGAGAATATCTTCTAGTGGTAATTGATTACTACAGCCGTTACATAGAAATCGAAATAATGATTCGCATCACTGCCCAAGAAACAATTAAGCGCCTCAAACGAATATTCCGAACATGGGGTCCACCAAGAACAATAACACTTGACAATGCAAAACAGTTTGTATCAACAGAGTTTAAGGAGTACTGTACGACCAACGGTATACATCTTAACCACATTTCACCGTATTGGCCCCAAGCAAACGGCGAAGTTGAAAGACAAAACCGGTCCCTCCTCAAGCGGATGAAGATTGCTCATGCCATTCATGATGATTGGAAGGCAGAACTCGACCATTTCTTGGATTTATACAACAATACTCCCCACACCATAACCGGAAAAGCACCAAGTGAATTGTTGCAGGGAAGAAAACTACGTTCTAAGCTACCTCAGATTGAAGACCTTGAGACAGTACCACCAAGCTCGGATTTCAGAGACCAGGATTTTTCAAAGAAGATGCTGCAAAAGGAGAGAGAAGATGCTAAACGGCGGGCGAAACTAAGCAATATCACCGCCGGTGATATTGTTCTTATGAAGAATCTGCTTCCTTCAAACAAGCTATCTTCCAATTTCCTAAATGAGAAATTTACGGTATTAGATAGAAATGGACCGAACGTGACCATACAATCAAATGATTCTGGCAAGAAGTTCGAAAGAAACGTTGCACATCTAAAGAAATGGCGTAAATCAACTGATTCTGAGATCGACGAACAGAATGTTGAATCGGATGATGTTTCAAGCGGTCAACGGTCTTCTGAAAAAGCAGAACCATCAAGCTCTTCAAGTCATTCGTGTAGTCCAGAAGCGATCACCGTAAGACGATCACTACGTACCTTCAAGACATCCAGCAGATTCAGTCCTTCAAGATAAGTATGATTACGATTTTCCATAGTAAATATAATTTAACAATCTAAAATAAATAAATTGATCTCAAATTGGTAAAAAGAGGGGATGTGGTAGTCGGCTCTATTTAATACATATTGGTAGTGAACTATACTGTATGGTTCCCGACTGCATGTTCTTACTAACACTATTACACGCCCCTTGAGCCTCACCTCGAATACTACGAATCGTTAACCTTACAGCGAGAGTGATCTGCTCAGTCTTCTCGTGTCGGTCGAGTTGTTGCACTGTGCTTCGTGTCTCGCGTGTTCTGACCAACCCTAATAAAAATTGTATGGTTAATTTGCTTAACGACGTGTTCTGGGTATCATCCAAACCATTTGTGGAATAGTTCAATGATTTGGGTTATCGTTCGTTTATGGTTATTTTTTATTAGGGAAGGCTATCACATGCCCTGTTCACATTTGGCTCTTGAACTTGAACTTACCAAAAATGGTTTATTGTCGATGCTTAACGCAAGGTGTTAGCCAAAAACAGAGTTGGGCACATCTTGACACACTCATTGGCACTGTTTGCACTCATGGTTGGATTTTTTTAAAGTTAGCAGTCAATGCGGAACTATCGATTTTAAATTGGATCATTCTCGTATAATAAAATCTGCGTTTGTTTTGATTCGCGCAATACCTCTAGCATATATTATGTCACACGCTAAGAGGGGAGGGGGTGTAACATTTTTAGACAAGAAATTAGGTATAGGAAAAACGTGACGAAAGTGGGGAGGGGATTATTTTTTCCTCAATTTATGAGGGCTTCTTGCATTTTCCTTGTGACCAGGACAGCTCGCAGGACAGGGTAATTGCATGCAGTATTATCTGTATACAGCTATCGCCCTACATCGCCTTAGTCGGTCTGATTTGTGGTAGTGGTGAGTCAATGGAGAACTGGTCACTCGCAGAAAATCAGAATGATTGGTTGAAAACCCGCCGAGAAAAGGTGGTGGGTAGAATTCAGTGGGTAACGCATTCTTCGGGGGAAAGCTGTAATCTGATATTTTTTTTCAAATGACATCTCATTAGTTTTCTAATTTTGAATGACTAATTAATTCTACATTAATGCTGGTAAGCTCCAACCGTTTGACAGATAACATGAGAGGTTCGTGGATTGCATCGATTAGCTAGGGATTGAAGAAAGTTCCAGAGCTGAGCCAAAAATTTGACCGCTTTTCTTCAGGTCCTTCTGGTCTTAAGGCCCAAACGCAATGTGGACGGAAGCGGAACGGAAACGAAAAGTTTGACAGTTGTCACAAATGACATCAAGATGCCTAACCGAAGTCGATTTGATTCTAACTAGTTTTCAATCCGACAAGTAGGCTTATTCAGATCAGGCTTTTCCGCTGCCGCTGCCGTTCCGCTTCCGCTGTCATTGCGTTTGGGCCTTTAGAGTTTCCTCTATGATATTATCCTCGGATTAAATCCTACTCAATAATATTCGGCTGCTTTGATGTCGATATCAGAATTAACCAACACGACTATATGTAAAAATTTTGCAGTTAATCCAAACAGGGTCGGTATTAAATGTTAATCCGAGTTGGAGCTATAAATCTGAAATTAATTGACCACTTTGTCAAGCAGTTTTGACGTGACTTTCTACCAGCGATTTCACAAAACTGGACCAACTAATTTATATATTTTTATGAAACGCACAGATGTTGGCTACTTTTCTCGAGGTTCTAGAAGAAAAAATCTCAAAATAATGTTTTATTTCAAAGTTCGAGTGGTATCAAATGTCATTTTAACTGCTCGAATGAAGTGGTTAATTGCACCATTGATTCCAAATTATATAATTAATTAAGCGACACTTGACTGACAGGGAATTATCATTTTTAGAAATGTTCTATGAAATTTTAATAAAAACATACATTGTTATATCGTTTAATTGAGAATGACAAATTTTGTGCTATCCTCCACTGGCCGAACCCCTTTGAACCAAAATTAGACGAGTTGGGAATCTTCGCTCATTTTTGACTAGATAGAGGTGTTCGCTATTTTCTGTCTGACCATCACTGTAAGCGAAAACGTCAAAACTGTCACGCAAAATCGTCGAAAAGCGAAAAAACAACATCCCTTGCGGTCGAAAAAGGTTTTTATTGGCATTTTCCGCATCAAACTGGCTGAAATTGCAGTTTTATAAAGTGCGTGCATTTTGGAGCCATGGCAGACGAAGGGAACGAAGATAGCTGGTTGTACGGCAATACCAACACGGACGGGAAAGAAGGCGACGATAAAGGTAACGAAGCCGCTGATGACGATGGAGGAAAAGATGGAACCGCAGATGAAGCTTCAGGTCAACCACAATGGGAAGAAAAGAATCGTGGTAGCAAACGTCCTCGGAGCAGTTTTTCCGATGATGAACATCATCAGCACGATGATAATGCGATGGATTCTAGCGATCTGGGACAGTCCCGAGGTGATTCCACAAGAAGGGAGGATGATTTCGTGAGTATAAACATAATGGGATAGGTATGGAATTGGTCACTGTATGATGTGTGGTTCTTTGCAGCAAGGGGAGGAGGATTCGCATTTACAGGAAGATGAAACCCATGACCATGAAGGCGGTAGAGAGAAACGCGATAGAAGCGATGGGGAAATGGACACCGATGATAGCGATGACGATGACGATATTAATGTAGTTATTGGAGATATCAAATCCGGTCCGAGCTATAATATCGTAAAGCCAAGAGGACCTATAGTTCCTCCACAGGTGGCACAGGCAGTCCCTGGACAGGATAAAGCCAAGCAACCAGCTGGGAAATTTAGTATTGAAGAGTTTGAAAGTGTCGGTACCATAAACGGTGTCCCAGCTCATGAATTCAGCATCGATTCTTTAGAGGAAAAGCCATGGCGTAAACCTGGAGCGGATATTACGGACTACTTCAACTACGGATTCAACGAGGAAACGTGGAGAGCATACTGCGAGCGACAGAAACGCATGCGTATGCATGAAAGCGGAGTTGGGTTGCAAGGATTGACTATCAACAATCCACAGGCGGCTCAGACACAGAACAATTGGAGAACTGGTCCTCCTCCGCCGAGGAAGATGAACAACGGAATAGACGTGATTGGCGGAATGAGTATGCATCCGAGACCCGAAGGAGACATGATGCCTCGTCATCCGAAGGAGAACATCATCCAGGTCATGACAGCCGATCGTCGTGAGTACAGCCGATCTGCTGCTAAATTCGATTCTCCCATGGGTCCACCACCCTTCGGAGCTCCTCCAGAATTCTACCACAGTGAACCGGACTACGGGGATTATGGATACGAACCAACGCAAGAATCGCAGTGGAACCAGGAAACCAATTGGCAACCGCATGGTATTAAGACGCTTACTCCTGGTCCCCCACCGCAGATGATGCCACCGGGAATGGGAATGCCTCCTCCACATATGGAAATGATGCCGCCACCCATGCAACCATCAATGAACATGGGTCCTCCGGGGATGGGGCCACCGGGCATGCGTAGCCACGATCGGGACCGCGAACGAGAGCGCAGCGAACGGGAACGAGATCGTGAACGAGGTGCAAGACCGAGGGACCGCGAACGAGAACAACGAGAACAAAGAGAACATCGTCGCGATCGCGAAAGAGAGCGGGAAAGGGAACGGGAAACACCTGTCCCCAAGCCGGAGCCTGTTGAAATAGAACGGTCCCGTAGTGAAAAACCGGAACGGGATCGAGAATCCGAGAAGGAGAAACGATCGTCCAAGTCCGATCGCCATAAGGATAGGTAAGAGTCGTTACAATTTAAATGCGGTATGATTAAATTATTGATCCTCATTGAACACATTTCTTGCAGATATCGTGAACGGTCACGCAGCCGTGAAAAGTCTAAGGCTAGGAGACATTCCCGTAGCCGCGAACGGGATCGTGAGCGACACGGTAGTAGCCGGCCCGAGAAAAAGAAGTCTCACCGCAAGGACAAAGAGGAAAGCGAATAGAACGGCGAAAAGTGAAAATGCATTCGTACCTAGCTACCGTGCTCTTGTGGAGCAAAACTTATTGAACCCTTATCATTATGAGAAATGAGAATATTAAGATATAGCATAAGATACTCCATTGAGTGAAATAACCAAATGTATTTTGGTTTTAATTTTTCGGTAGAAGCGAAAGAAATCACGACAGTCGCAGCAAATTTCTATCATTGCACTATATTAATGATGGTCCAAAACGGCAATTGAGCGGGTTAGAAGGATAGGGGTGTAAGTGACTTTGATCGATTATCTTCATCGACTTTCGCTTTTGATAGCCACAGTTTTATGAACAGATTTTTCTGCCACATAGTTTGATAAAGGAGGTTCTAGCATTCTTACGCAAAATAAAAGGAGATACGAAATGCTGGTCCGACACCAAAAACTGGAAGGACCAGAGAGTACTGTCCAGATTACGCTGCGGCTACACCAGATTCTCACACGATCTCGGATCCCGTGATGGATTCCACAAACAATGTACGGAGTGCTCAACCAAAATTTCAGTTGAGCATCTCATAAATAATAAATTGCCCTGCACATCAAAAACTCCGAGACCAATACGGTATCGATCTCAGCATCAGAGACGCATTATCCACTGACCCAGACCGGGAAAGATCACTTCTCGACTTCCTTAAAGACACATACTATTATCAATATACGTAGAACCCCGCAACGAACAATGACACGACAACGGACGAACAACGGCACTTGGATAACACCAGCTCTCTTAATGACATGTCAAACGGAAGAACAACGATGACAACCCCGCAGGCTACGGACATTGACTCTCTCTCTCGGAAATTAACCACAACTTCGTTCACCTTTCTTACTGTTAAAGTAATCGACACAGAACTCTGAGATACTTAAACTCTGTAACAAACACTATGTAATTTATTTATTTTCTATCTCCGGGACCCACTCAGGAGCCCCAATCCTTCAAAGAGACGAACCAGCTACAGGCTGAAAGTCTCTATAATAAAGCAAAAAAAAAAGGTTCTAGCATCCAGAATGGCATACGAATCAAGGAATGTGTTTGCAGCTGAATTATGAACGAAAGAGAATCGATCAAAGTCACTTACACCCCTTTCCTTCTAACCCATTCAATTAAGCACGAAAAACATACCGTTTTCATTAGTTTTTGGCAGTTGGTGTCGTTCTGAAAGCGTTTGAAAATTATTTTATATAACAAAAAGATGATGTGGGTGATCCCTATTTAAATTTAAATCCGGAATATAATTTGTTATTTGAGGTTCTGTAGGCAATAGTTGCATTCTTCTTCAAAGTTGTAGAACTATGATTTCAAGCAACTTTGCTGACGACACTGTTTATCGTGCTCCTGAGTTACTTTCATTCATTTCGCTCAAGAAAAATGTTTGAAGGTATCATAAGGTATGATGAAATTTTTTGTAAGAAACAAGAAGAGGTTGTAAAGTTTGTGGTTGACTCATACAATCTACAAATTTCGCTTTATGAGAGTCGCAATAAGCGATTTAAACATTTTCTCTCACCCTCTCTTCATTCTGATTGTGACTCTTTGAAACCCAAATTGGCAAGTTTTATGTGTACAACACATTCCTTACAACTTCTTACTGTAACTGGTAAATACAAAATATCACTATAACATCTATTATGTAAGTCGAGTCGAGCGTCACTTGACGAGTCGAAGCTTATGTAGCTGGCAGGAAGTTTTTATACATTGTGGATTAAAACCATGATTAATTGAAACTAAATTAGTTAATTATCAGCTAAAAACATAGGAAAAACGTGTTCATTTAAAGCTGAATCTTCAGCAAAATTCCTTGTTCTTTTCGGATAGAAGTTTGCTGGTTTTCCAACAAATTCCTGTCAAAAACATTTGCTGGCTATCCAGCTAAGTTGACTTTGGAGAAGAATTGCTGGTTTTACAGCTCGGCAAAATCCAGCAAAATTTTGCTGGTTTCCTACAGAATAAAAATAGTGTGAAGTCGATTTTACACTTTGCAAGAAAAGTTTTGTTTACAACACCTGATAGGCTCTTTTCATTTGTTGGTCAAGCATTCATGCTAAGGCTGTGTTTCATTTGGAGAATTCGACAGTGAGCATTAATAAGGGCGAATACGCGATGATCGATTCTCTTCATCGATTTTCTCTTTGCATTGCCACAGCTAGGCGAAACAATTTTCTAGAATTTGTTCAATGCAGAGTAGTCAGGTTGTATTGGCTATCAAAAGCAACAGTAAACGCACCGAGAAACGTTAAATCTAGCAAGTTTTTATCAAAAGAGAAAATCGACGAAGAGAATCGATCATCGCGTATAGACCCTTAAGGCCCAAGCGCAATGACAGCGGAAGCGGAACGGCAACGGCAGCGGAAAAGCCCGATCTGAGTAAGCCAACTTGTCGGATTGAAAACTTGTTGGAACCAAATCGACTTCGGTTAGCCATCTTGATGTCATTTGTGACAACTGTCAAACTTTCCGTTTCCGTTCCGCTTCCGTCCACATTGCGTTTGGGCCTTTATGCATGCTCACTGTCGAATTTCCACTTAATTTTCGACAGTGAGCATACATAAGGACGTATACGCGATGATCGATTCTCTTCATCGATTTTCTTTTTGCATTGCTACACTGCCCATAAAAGTATAACTCAAGCTGAACATTGCATTAGGTCCTAAGTAACATTGATCGATTCTCTTCGTCGCCTTTCTCTTTCGCTAATAACTTGAGCACATAAGCATTTCTTGTTGTGTTTGTCGTATTAGATGCTAGATAAAAGCTTCTTTTATCGATCTGTGTGCTGAAAATACCTGGGAATGTCTTTACATGGCCATGGGAATACAAAGAGAAAGTCGAAGAAGAGCATCTGTCAATGTTACTAAGGACCTAATGCAATGTTAAGCTTGATCTTTTCCATATGAATAGGAAATCAAGCAAAGATGGAACAGTTATGCTTTTATGGGCAGTACAGCTAAGCGAAACAATTTTCTAGAATTTGTTCAATGCAGAGTTGAAACAGGTCGTATTGGCTATTAAAAGCAACAGCAACGCACCGAGAAACGTTAAATCTAGCGAGCTATTAACAAAAGAGAAAATCGACGAAGAGAATCAATCATTGCGTATAAATACACCCTTATGGATGCTCACTGTCGATTTGACACTTCGAAAATTGATCAAAATGTTCGAAAATTCCTCTGTTGTTGATCGGCAGGTTCTCAAGAAGGCATCTGTCAACATTGATTTTTCGTCTGTCTCTCTGTCTGTCTGTCTGCTGGAATAGCAGGTTTATTTGTAAAATTTGCATCTAAATAAAAATTAATTATCGAAAATCGCTCTGTTGATCGTGTGATTTTCGAGAATGTGTTTGACAAAGTGAAAATTCACCAAATTAACCATTTTATTCGAGCACTTCAAATAATGTCTACTACCACTCGAACTTTGAAATACAACATTATTTTGAGATTTTTTCTTCTAGAACCTCGAGAAAAGTAGCCAACATTTGTGCGTTTCATAAAAAAATAGAAATTATTTGGTCCAGTTTTGTGACATCGCTGGTAGAAAGTCACGCCAAAACTGCTTGACAAAGTGGTCAATTAATGAAACACAGCATAAAAACGCTTCACACTTAGAAAATAATAACGAGCTCGGTTTAATTTTCTTTCGAACCTTTTCGGTTACCAACGAGAAACCGATTATTGTTTTTAAACATTTTTTCAGGCGTATTTAACGAATCAGACCCTAATTTCGGTAAAATAGTATAAATTTGACGGATAGAAATGAAAACTGAACCGAAAAGTACGGTAATGTATCGACATTTACGAATTTGCTACGTGAAAACCGAGACACTCGGTAAACTGAGCCGAATATTCGCTAAAACGTGTTGAACGTCAAACGTTCCACTTGCGCTCAACTTCGCGGTTTGTTTGACAGCGTTCGGTAATTCTTGAGTAAACCGATGTTCGCCCTAATAAAAATTGTATGGTTAATTTGCTTAACGACGTGTTCTGGGTATCATCCAAACCATTTGTGGAATAGTTCAATGATTTGGGTTATCGTTCGTCTATGGTTATTTTTTATTAGGGCGGTTATTTCTGCTTAAATTTATTTTTCGTCAACCGAGATTTTCGGTAACTTTGACAGATTGTGGGTAGCCAAAAGAACTAACGACAGCTCGGTTATTCCTCTTTGAACCGAACAGACTACCGAGCGTTCAGCAGATAAAAACTCGGTTGAAATCAAACCGAGTTCGGTAATATTTTCTAAGTGTGTTCGAAAACACTTCCACAATGAGCGAGAAGTAAAAATTCGACCAGTTTTTTTTTCGGCCAAATGAGACCTACTCCAACTCACACAAAAATCCAAACGACAGGAGCTGTCAGTTGTGCTGGCAACACAGAACAGCGTCAGATGCAAGTTAGGCACAGTGGTTCGTTGCTAGTAAAGACATATTATTTCAACTAGTTCGTTTTTATCCAACACTTAACATTTACGTGTAATAAGGAGTTTTGTTTATTTCTTCATTAGAATCTTGTTTTAAATCTGATACATGTTTTACCTACTGTAAAACTCCACGGTAGCATCATTTAATGTTTAGGACAGCTAAATAATATATCACTTTGTATAGTCGGGTTAGCTTTCAAACTAGTAGAGATCTACAGTTGTATCTGCCACACAAACACAACCGCAAACCGTAAACAAGCAAAAACTGCTGGCAGAGTGAAACAAAATCAAAACACACATCAGTGGAGTAAAGCAAAAAGCGAAAAAAACACCAGAAAATCCTCCTACCCCCAAATCTGCCGATGTCCGCCGTGCCGTTCCGCCGCGTAACAAGCTCATCTCGCAACTAGCCAACATGTAATATATTTAACCAACCGTTTCCTTCATTGTGTACGCGAATCGCGGATAGTGGTGTCAGTGCGAAAATTTTCGCTGTTTGCGTTCGTTTGCTCAAAGGCTGCCCTCTGTTGTGCTTGTTTCTTTCTGCTGCTGCCGAAGACAAGAAAAGCCAACTCCTGATGGGAGATTCCGTCAGAGCTTTGCACATCAAGACAAGAAAACAAGACGCGATTATGCGGAGCTGGCTGGCAATGAGTCCGATTGGCGAATAGTTTCGGCTGCTCAGTCAGACATCGGGAAGAGATCGACGCGAGCGGACAAGTGAATTTCCTCCACAGCAGAAACAAATTATACGGTGTTCCGGATCAACCTTGAAGCAAGGATTGGAAAACGATAGTGGAAAATCTGTGCAGATCTAAGTGCAGGGGGTTGCTCCCGTTTAGTGCTGTGTTTTTCTTGAGTGAAATTCAGTGTACATATAAGGCTCTCTAATCTCGGTAGTGTGGTAAACAAGCAACGAAACACGAAACAAAAAGGTAGAAACAAAAAAGCATGAGTGAAATGTCTTGCAAGGGCAGTCCGACGTCGAGCGCTAGCGCTCGGATCAGCTTAGTTACCGACGAAAGCCATTTCAGCCTGGCCAGCCTGAACTCGTCCGTCAGTCAGGATGAGTTCTTTCGCTGCAGGGAGCACTCGGATCTTGTGCTCAAACGGATGCAAGGTAGGTGACCCGATTGATGTGATGATAACTTGCATTGTGTTGCGAGGGGGGAAGGAGAGAGGTGGATGAGAGGAAGGATGCTGCATGCAGTCTGCAAGTAATGGAAGAGAAGAGGTCATCACCCAGATGAGACTTTCACTGATGATGGCAATGATCTTGTGCAGCAATGTTCTTGCCCTTTGTTTTTGTGTCGCTTCGTGTGAACATGGTTGGCACATTGCATGGGTTGTTGCACTTATAGAAGTTTGCAGCAAGTTGTAAATCAGGGAATTATTATGTTGATACCAATAGACGAGCTTGACTAGGTACGGGAGGAAGAGACATGATTTTTCTCCTGTGCCCTTTACACCGATGGTTTATGCTAAGACTCAAAAACACAGCAGTTGAAGTCATTGAAAATCTGCCAATAAGATGTTTTTTTTTTCCTATTTAATAGTCTGTTTCCTTGTTGAGATATTTCGTGTCGTATGTGCTAGACACTGGGACCATACATGGGCATGTTGACCGATTGGAACCTACATGCGCCCAGACCAATCCAAAATTTGTTTTTAAAGGAAATGTTGAGGAAGCATTAGACTAGTTCATGCAATGCAAGAGATATAATACAAATTTGTGATTTGTAACTTAAGATGTTTTCGACTAAAAACTAAGCATAACTTTCAATCCAATCAGAGATCTCGAATTATGGAAAAATATATGAGATACACGACATCGACCAGAATGCCAGAATGTCTCCTTCTTATTTATCACTCAGTAAAAACAATTACATGTCCAGAATCTTGCGGACTTGTCTAGGTGAAGAAGGTCACCCTAAGGATAGTGCGTTGAAATATGCGATTCCGTGAAACTGTATAGGAGTTTGTGCTGCGAATTGTAAGTTTATAACATTGTCTTCATGTATCATCAGTTAAAACTTAAAACCTGTTAAAACTATACCCCATCAAAAAATCTTTATGCTTTTTTCAAAATGTCATCATATCTGAATTTTAAAAATGCTACGGGGCAAGAGTGCCACTCTTGTAGGGTAAAACGGCCATACGTCTAAAATGGAGTGTAACAGATTCATGTTGATTTATAAACAACAACTTACTATTCTTAAGAATACCAGCAATAGATTTTATTGTTTACTCCATGGCACAATAACAATAACAATTTTATACATAAATGTAGCGGTGGCATATTTTTGTCCAATCAATCAAAAGGATAATAGATTCCTTTACAGGTACACTAGGGAGAAGTGCTATGAAATCGAATGAAACCATGCCTTCATCTTCCCGAATATCTTCCTTCTGAAGCGTGAAGTTGACTTGCGAAATCCTGTGTACTGTTGGATAATCGACTTGAAAAGGGTTTTGAAATGCCATTGCTAATCATTTAGCAAGTATACGAGTGAGAGAACCTTTCCGAGATAATATCCATCATTTCGGTTCCCGGTTTCTGCATCTTAGGTAGATACTTAGGTAGAATAGGGTTTGAGACTTTCAATCGACTCGTGGGATCACTTCTGCAACATTTTACCTCATGTTTCACCATAGATGGAAGGGAGTCAATTCTCAACTGCTCGCGTAACATTTGAAAAGGGCCTATCCTCGTTGATCGACTTTCTCTTTGGTTTACCACGGCAACATAAACAAATTTCTCGCTAAGCTCTCAGCATAGTTCGACAGTTACTGTCTATATCGGTCATTAGTTGTTGTTTCAGTCATCCGATTATCATAGTAGTCTTTATCCAAAATCGTTGCTGCATTACCTCTATCAGCTGTTGAGTAAAGGAACGACTAATTCTTTAAGAACAAGAACTTCCTCTTTTCCAGTTTTACTAAGCGAATATCTTATTCCATTTTTTATCACCTCTGAAGTAATATGTATGTATTCATCGTGTAGTTGAACGGGAAGTGTGTGAGTGATTGCAGCATTCATATTTAAGATTACTTATTTCACATCATATGAAGGGCTGGTAGCAAGTAACTTTTTAGGGGCTAGCTCACTATTTTCAAAAGATGGTCACTAAAGTCACTTTTTTACGAGCTAAATTAAGAGTACAGAATTTGACTTACAAAATATCATGAAAACGCCTGAATAACAAACAAATTAGTACTGGAAAGAATTATATAAAATAAGTGTGTAACGTCTAGCAAGAAGTGTTTAGAGCAAACGGGAACGCCAACGGATCAATTATTGTTGATAGAAACTCTTCGTACTCTGACGGAAGATTCCCATTTACATATGTTAGACAAAAACTATGCGGTCTTTTATCCTTCGCTTTCTTCCATAGAATCAGTGATGGAAAAGTTCGCAAAAAATCACTATGACTCGCAAACTTTTCCCTTGGAGAACTTCGAGAAATATCGCGAACTTTTCCAACAGTGCATAGAATCCCGATCAAACAGCTTCGTCATCAAGAATAATATTCTAAAATAAAACTTAAGATGTTGAGGGCGGCAAACACGACATGCATCGTATTGTCGCTCATAGTTTAATTCTTTTCCAGTTACATTTTTTAGCCTTATTACAACGAACTTTTTCCAATTTTTGTAAGAATTTGGCCATAAAGCTGCAAAAACTTAGAAATATTCTATGAGATTTGTTTAGGATGATCTAGGACGTTCGAATCACTCTGCATGGAGTCCTGATCCTTGTTTTCACAGATTCAACAGAAGTTAATCCATATACATTGGTATCGATGATCAAACAGCAACCAAAAATCATCTCCAAATTGTTCGGGAAGATTGATTTTGAGATTATATAGGCTTAGCGAAGTCTTCCGGCGTGTCCCTAATAGATGCATGAACCTGTGGGGCTTGTTAACGAGGGGTACATCTATTAGGGACCCGTTGATCTTCGTGGAGCTCCGTAGCATCATGAGGGATCTGTGGTTGATACTGTAGGTTTCCCAAGGGGTGGTCACTCTGAGTTACCCCATTAGGGATAAATACGTTAGGCATACAGACGTTAGGCATAATGGGTGTTAGGCATAAAGTCATTAGGCATAATAGACGTTTGGCATAATATACGTTAGGCATAATGGACGTTAGGCATAAAATACCTTGCTGCTGTGCAACTCTAGAAAACTGTTTCGAGCATGGTAAACAATGAAATCCATTATTTATCATATCATAAGTGACGTAACTACATATTTACTTAGATCCAAGATTAGTAGCGATAGCGGTTAAGTAATCTGGCAACAAAACTCAGCATAGTTTTTTACTACATCTTGAAATCAATCGCATAAAGAAATAATAAAGCACACATTTGTTGTAATATATTCTTACACACATATTGCAAGTGCGGGAAAATTTGAGATTTGGGCGTAATTGCTTTTGTAAACAGACATGTCAATCGCTGATCGTGAATAAAAGAAAAATCTCGTGAACAAATTGATAGAGGAACCATTCATCTGCCTGTTTGTGTTGTTAGTTTTTGAGATTGAGCTTTAATTCGCGAGAAATTGTCAAATGAAGTGTTTGTTTACAAAAGCAATCACGCTCTAACCTCGAAGTTCTCCGGAAATGTCAAAGAAGAAAAGGTTTTCCGCAAAGAACAGCTCATGAAATAAAGAATGGTGAATTCTGTGATTTTTCATTCAATAACAAAAAAAAAACAGCTAAGGTTGAATTAAAGATGATGTCAATGAACAGCTCATAAAATAAAGAATGGTGAATTCTGTGGTTTTTCATTCAATAACAAAAACATATCTGATGCTTGCAGGATTTACTCCCATACTTTTCGATACAACGATTGTGTTTTTGTTGTCATCAGAATTAATACTAGCAGAACCGTCTGCTGATGTGAGGGAGCGATACTTCCATGAACAGCGACGAGTTGCCGAAGCAAACAAGGAACTGTGGCAAACGTACCATCTGCAACCAAATACTTTGCCTGTCCAAGACGTCGAAAGTTTTCATGAGTCCCAAAAATTAAGGCTCTTTTATTATTGTCACCGATGTCAGCAATCAATACACGGTCCCCATTATCATCCTTCTAGAATTCATCGGGTATATTATGCCTAACGTCCATTATGCCTAACGTCCATTATGCCTAACGTCCTTAATGCTTACGTCCATTATGCCTACCGTACATTATGCCTAACGTCCGTATGCCTAACGTCCGTATGCCTAACATCCGTATGCCTAACGACCGTATGCCTAACGTCGTGTACCCGGTCACTCTACACACGTATTTTGCGTCAACTTTTTTCTCAGTGTGCCTCACGTGTGCCGGCAGTGCCGAGAGTGTCATCAGACTGATTTTTTTTTTCGTATAATGGTGTGTTTGGCAACCCGGTTAATTTGACAGTTCACATGTTTTGTTTTGAAGAAACAAAACTTCAAGCAGTGGAATCCTATTCCAGATCCTAACTGTCGTGTCGTGACTCTCGGTTCCCAAATTCTATCGAAAAAAAGGACTACACTGAACCTAATAAGCAACGGCCTCAGCCATCGAATCGAAGCTTGGAGCGATAACAATTTCCGACAGGACAATAACTTCTACTGGATTGAAGTATGATGAGCACTCGAATGAACCACAGGTGACGGTGGTAAGTAGACGATGATCTTCAGATTCTGATGAACGCTTCCGAGAGGAATTTCTCCCGAAAGCCATCGACTCAATCAAAGATGCGTCGCCAGCGTTCTAGTGGGAGTTTCAACCGGAATCAGACTTCCCTGGTGGAGGTGGGGTTTAATATTTCCACTCGGTAAGATAGTCCACCGATCAAAAGCATTGCCGGTCAGAGAACACCTGTAAAAGCTGGGGCGTGGTCGATGGTAGAAAAACAAACACAGGTGAAGATTCTACCTCCGAATATGGTCCGAGTGATCATCGATGGCGAATACATCTATGTCAGTTACGATGAGGAACAAATCATAGAACTGAATGTTGGTTGATTGATCAACGAAGTGGAATCAAACATGCTAAACGACCACTGATAAAACTACTACGGCCAGATGGTGTTCTTTGTATGGACACCGATTCCCTTACGACCTTCTGTGCGGCTCGGA